ACACACACACACACACACACACACACACACACACAGGAGGATTCTGCCTTGCTGAACAAGAGATCTACGAAACCCTGAACTCGTCCACTGTCTCACATAAGACTTGCTTTAATTATAGAAATGACAAATACTATTAAGTGTGCTTGTGTGTCCACTGTCGAATGCAGTATGCACATTTGTGTGCATAGTTTTGTGTGTTTTCATAAGTGTACGTATGTTAGATGTGTCTCATTTGCATGCTGTTAGACGACGGAGCAGCTGTTCTCTGATTGGTCTGTTGCATGGTTCAGGGTTGGAGGGGAGTAGAGGGCTTCAGTATTTTTTTTTTCTCCATGTGAAAAAACAATTAGCCATCGTTTGCCTTTCCAACGTCCCTCTCTCATCTTCCTCTTCTTACTGTCTCACTGCGTCTTTTTAATCATCAGCGCCATTTTGTCTTTATTCTCTCGACCTTATGAGGACGTTGAGGATGAGACATCCGTTGCTATCAAGCACATCCTGGCCAATCAAAGCAGGCACTGGAACTCCTACTGTACTTTCACCATATGCATGTTTGAAGCTGTCACTACGGTCACAATGTTTTATCCACTCTGCCACTTTAAGTTTAAATTAAAAGTAGTAACTGTTTTGTATTGATATTGTTGTTCTCACCACTGCTGCTGTTTTAATATTATTAATTGTATTGATAATTAACATTCTGTTTTAAGACAGATAGGAAATTGAACACTTCCCCCATAATTAAAGATAAGGTGATGTAGCCAAGTAGAGAATAACCATGGAAACCACACATTTCTTGGTTAGAATAAAAGATTGTTAACATAATTAAGACCTAATTAAAAATATTAAGACAGCAGGAAATAAGGGTTGCCAGCAAAGAAGCAAAGAAATGTCCTTGTCCTTCAGCGGTTCAATGTGATTTAGAAACAGTGTCTTCATAATCATCACACATTGCCATAAGTACTCTCTGATATAATCGGCAAAGAGCCCTGAAATCTGAACTAAATCACAGTAGGAGTCAGATTAGGAAAAACATAATCCTTTTTAAAAGAAGACAAAAAAACATTTTACTGGGAAGGCTGATTTCCATTCCCCTGAAATAACCTTCATAGAGATAACATTCAGGTAAAAGTGTAGTTTTATCAAAGTCTTGTAGCTTTTTTTTCTTTCAGAGTTAAGTTTATCTTAAATCAGCACTTATTCAGAAGTTCCCATGGCTGAGTTCTATGAAGCTGTATCATTTCATTTACCTCAGTCTGTGTCCTTAAAGTTGTACAATATTTATAAAAGAATACCCTGAACAAATATCACCTGAGCTGTGGTGGTGATAAAGTATGAATGGTGTGATAGAAAATGTGCTGCATGTAGAACTGTTGTACGGATGTGCGTGAACGGGAGAAAAGTTTGAGTGGTTGATAATACTGAAAATCTAAATACAGTCCATTTACCATCTACCAGATTGTGCATGCTAGTGTAGCTCACTGGGTTGGTTTACTGAGACACTTCATGCAGGTGAGCAGTGAATGAGATTACGAGCCCTGACGTCTGTTCTGTTTCAAAAGATAAAACATGAAAACATCTGTCGGGGTCAAATTGGTATTTCACTGCTTTACAATTCTCTCAGATATGAAGTATGAAAAAAAACCTCCCTCATCTAATCGCTGTCTCTTTATTTGCCCTGAAGGACACGGTAGCAGTGTGAGTTGTCTTTTTTTAAAGTGTGTCTTCTCTGGCTAACATTCAGCCTCATCTTGGACAAAACCCAACAAGCGCTGAAAAGAGTTTTGTTCGTTCAGTTTGAAAAAGGTTGATCCACGACGACTTTCCTTACATAAGACCGTGAGGCAGTGGTGAAAATGTGGAGCAGTAATGTAGGCTAAAGCACAGCCAGGGAATTAAAAAGTACCTGCACCTCATCACTCACTGATCAAGCTATGCTAATGTGATGTAATGTGTGGTGACGCATGGGGAATAAGCGCAGAGCAGAAAGAAAGAGAGGAATGAGCCATTTTTAGACATGAACTCAGGAAAATGTCCAGAACATTTTTGGTCTGTAACATATGAAGAACACAGGAGGATACTGTCCAGGTCACAACAACGGGAAAATGTCATTCAGACGAGGGGTGCTGTCTGGGTAGAGAACACGGGAGGCAGGACCTAACGGATCATTTCCGCTGCAGAAATCACATATTTTTGTTTTGAAGACATCAACACCAGCGTCGAGAGATGGGTGTCATGGGTAAGATAAGATTCTCACATGTGCAACCTCGAACACTTAACGAACACTTGCTGGCAAGAAACTTATGGAAAACGTCAGGCGCAACTGAGTCCCACATTCTCACATACAGCCCGTGTGGGACACTGCAGGAAAATGTCCAGAAAGGTTCGATGCACTGCTGAAAGCATCTGTGAAGGCAGAAGTATTTTTATAACAGCGCAGTATTAGAGACAAAGGGGGGGATAAAAATAAAAGAGGACGGAGGAGTGAGGGTGAAAAAGCAGAATGTGGCGGGACAGTCAGCGAACAGCTTGTCAGCCCACCCAACGTTTGTTAACCACACTTGTCTCCAGTGTTCACAACATCCAGACAGGCTGTTGACATAATAGTTCAGTACGAGGACAGGCGGGGCCGAGGCTCTGCCTATCAGATGTACATATCACACACATGAAATCACACTGACTCGGTTGCCATGGTACCTAGTCAGGATCTCTTCAAATATCCCTTATGACCCCCATGTCTGAAGTGGATTTTCCTCCAACACACACACACACACACACTTGTGCACTCTGTGGTGTCATGAGAGAGGATATTACAGCAAGTACAGACCCTCCTTCATCAGCATAGTCTTCCAGAAGAGCCTCTGATGCACCTTAGCCCCCTATACATGAGTAACCCCCCTGATCCCTGTCATCTAAATCATCACTGTAGTGATCCCCGGCCCCAAAACTAACCCACCTCACCAGAGAATAGAGGAACTATTCAGTGTGGCAGAAAGAGACATGTAGCTGCATCTCAATCTCTCCGTTACAGCAAGAGGGGGATGCAGTCAGGGACCCATCTGTAAAAGACACGGACTGTGAAATGTACTCCCTCCGCCACAATTACAGAATACTGCCACAGCACAAATAAGACGCAGGGGAGTAACCGAAGACAGCAATTGAGAAAGGAGGAAAAGGAAGAATAAGAGGAGGGAGAGAAGGAGGGAGGAGTGGGATAAAGAATACATAGCAGTGACAGAGGGAGCGGGGAAAGTGTGGGAGACGAAAAAGAAAGAGGTGGTAATGTGCCTGTCTACTTTCATTTACACACGTCATATTTCAGGAGCAGAACAAACGAGAGGGACATCAAACAAAAAAAAGAGAGAAAGAGAAACAAGACACGTCCCCTCAGCTAAAAGCTTCTGATCTTTGTTTTGTTGGATGATTGATTTTTTTGTGGCTTTTAAGTGTGATGGTCATGTCAGGATCACACAGCGACTCTGTTTGTTTTGTAGCGTGTCAGTAACATTTTATTCTGAGAATCTGCTCCGGTGCATTTGAGGTTTGGTGACAAGTGGAGCTTGTGTCGCTTCACGTCACAGAGACGATCTTTTGGGTCTTTGATCAAATGTTTTCTTTGTTAAGTAACATTCCAGCTTTAAAATGCATTTTGCCTCATCTTGTTTGGTGCTCTGGCCTGTGGGGCCATCAGAGGACAGGGATGTGGATGATTTTATCTTGAGTTGAGAATCCACCTCCATTCAGTGAAATGCAGCAGATCTAATTTGTCTCTCTGTGAATAATGTAATGTGTTGAAGTTATGAAGCTCATACTGTCCAAGGCTGAGCATTGTTTGAAAAATAAAATAAAATATACATAACGATACGATCTCAGAGGATCTGGACCACCCAAATTATTCAGGCCACAAATAACGACCAATTATTCTCTAGGAAATCTTTAAAATGTAGAAAATAAACAATCCATCTCGTTATGTTAGAAAAAAACCTGGATCCCGCTCTTTGTCCGGATCCATGCCAAAATTTAATGGGTTCTTTCTTGGCCCACTTCCCGTCCTTCCAGCGGACAACTGAGCGGTAAATATAATAATCATTTAAATGACTGATCTCATCAGTGATCAAACAATACTAATTTGGACTTTCATTGCTTTAAACAGCTTTCAGCACTCATACCATAAACACATTTTGGCTTGTACTATTGCAGTGCAATCTCTGACTCTTGGATACTCAGCTTGATTTTCCTCTCCTGTGTCGTCTGCAGGTTGGGGGAGGATGACCGGACCCTGGAGCACTCCCTCGCCAGCTCGGGGTGTGAGGTCCACTGCTTCGATCCCGGGCTGAAGCAGCCTCACCTGCAGCAGGCCGACATGTGGCTCCATCGGCTCTCCGTGGACTGGAGGGATCCCAACCCGGGCGTCGTGGCCCAACGTCAGTACGCCAGCACGAAGAAACTGGCCACCATCCTGAACGACTTCGGACACAGACAGGTTAGAGTTAATCCTAGATTGTAAAACCACCTGGAAGAATACAAAACAGATTTCTATTTGTTCCTGAGTCAGCTTCGCTCAATTAGTTGCAGGCAAACACAAGCACCATCCTGTGCATCACAACATAATCCAGCTCATCATGTTTTATTCCTCTGTTGTCCATCTCCAGGTGAATAAACCTACATATATAATTTTTTATGTCCTCCTCAATGCTCCTTAAAGAACCCCCCTCCCCCCACAGGGCCCACCTCATCAGATAAGAATCTGCATATAAGATCTGACTGCATGCATACTAATAAACACACGCTCACTTATAGATCCGGTAAACATCTCTGTTGTGGACTGGGGCTGAATAATAATTCAAGGTCAAAGAAGCCACAGCTTCTCTTACACAGGTAATCGAATTATTATCTCTACCTCATGAGAAGGACACTTAGTTTTAGTAGAGACAGATACATATGGATTAAAGATAGATCATTTACAAAATGTTCTCCTGTTTAGCTGTGAGGCTGCATGCCGACCATTGTCCTTCCGTTTTAAAAATGTATTCTATTGATGACAAATAGGTCTGAGCCACTTGAATATATTTACCCATTAACTATATTATATAAAGGTTTTTTTAGTGTGTGACAAATAAACTGTGTGGTGGGTTTTTACATAATGCTGTTTCATAGATGACAGCACTCACCTGCTTTAAATGCAGAGCCCCACACTTGCATCCTTGTAGTGAGGTTTTAATGTGAGTACATATTGTGCCGGAGGAGCGAGCAGCAGCGGCAGAAACAGCTTCACCTCAAAGCCTCTGCAGCGTCTGTGAAAGGAGAACAGCAGTCAGGAAACAGAAGTGATGGAAAGGTCAAAATATGCATTTGTGCAGCGTTTCTTATCTGGGTTTTGGTTTAATAACTCACGCCGATGACTCACCGACTGAGCGGAGCTGTGGTGACCAGCTGAGACAGCGGACTCTGTCACAACACGGACAAATGTCAGCAGCAGTGTGTCACATCTCATTTGTTGAAAGGGACCATTGATCGAGTCCGTAATTGGATCGTGCAACAGGATCAGCACTGCTCAGCCAATGGAAATCATTAGAAAACAAGCACAACAAACTTTCATTTCTTCAGTAAAGGTGCTGCAGTCGTACATACATGTCACAGTCGTCATCCAACATAGATTATTTCTCCCAGTCTGTCCTTAATGTTGACAGTTTAATTAGAATAGGTGAGCGTGCACATTGCAGCAATCAACTAGAATGACGGTCGACAGCTTATACCTTAGCTCAGGTCCAACAGTTCCCTTTAAAACAATTAAGCTGATCCAAATTTAACACACTCTTAGATATCTGATTGCTGAATGTGCAATAGTGGGCGAATCTACGGTCCAAACTGGAAACTTTCATGTAAAGTTCTTCTCAACTCAGACAACTTCTCTTGTCAAAATATAGATTTTACTTCCTAATCCCAGGACCACAGTACAGAAATAATTACCGAGTGTATTTTGATCACTTTGTGCATGAGTCACTTGGAGGTAATATTTGTCCACCGGGTGTGAAAAGTGTTTGCTGCTGTCTCACATTAATTTCTCAGCAGTAGGCGGGAGTTCCTGTGGAGCACGACGTCATTTCACACAAAAATATCCTCCAGAGGTCGATCAACTGTTTAATTGTAGAGTGCAGCTTGGTTTGTGAAGTTATGTTCTGGAATTATTTTTTTTTGCAGTTTTGGATTATGGAAAAGGTGCTGAAAGTTGCTCAGAATGGTTGAAAGGGATTGTTGGTGCAAATAAAAACGCACTGGGAAACCGAAACTCCTTTTTTATCAATTCCAGCAGCCTGTTAGCTTAGCATAAAGACTGAAAGAGGAGGAAAGAGCTAGCCTGGCAGAGATCTTTCCACCTACAATGTTAAATCATGTGTGTTTCATCTATAAAAAACTTTTCTCTACTCCTGGTTACATGACTGCTACGGGCCAAGAGGGGGTCCGACACGCTTCCTCCTGTCAAGTAAAAACACTGGTTATGTATGATTAAGAGAAAAAATGGTTTGAAAAAGTATGGTCTTATTGGCACGGGCAGAAAGTTCTTGGCTCGAATCTCAAAGTCAGCTGGGATGGCTCCAGCTCCCCCTTCGACCCATTAAGTATAAGCGGTGTAGATAATTGATGGGTGGATGAACTTATGATCACCATAAAGCTGCTGGAAGAAAAACAACTTCTCATTTCTATGCGTTCTACGAGGTTTTAGTACGGATGAGATGCTTTAGAGGTGCTGGCAAACACGTTTTCCAATATTTATACTAAGATACGCAGCTGCTGTTTCAATGAATTCCTTGAAAATGACACTTGGCACCTGAAAATTTTTTTAAGTCTGCATTCTTACAAAGGAACAACATTATTTATAGTTTTTTTTAAATCAATTCACTTCATGCCAAGTGAAAAAATCATGTGCAAGAGCCTAAATAATTTGTAAAGCGCTGCATAAATTCATGCACATTAGTTTAGTTTTTGTTACATGAAATATCGAAGGATTTATTTTTGCGTAGTTGTCTGCTTTCTCCAGCCAAAGGGAAAGCAGCTCACAGTAGTTGAGAATGGCTAACTCTTCACAGCAGTCTATGTTATGTTTCCAACTCTCCGACATGATACGGACCTCGCTGAGCGCAGACATGACTCTTGCCAGAGTTTGCATGTTCCCTGCAGAGAGAGTTGATATTGGCAGCGTTGGATCAGGGACCACAGAGACAGGGAGGCAATTTACATCAAATACATTGGAGAAGCGTCCCCGTCATTCACAGACAGAAGCTCGGTGAACTGCTTACTCTGAAAAACACAGCCTCTAAACGACATCCGATCCAAACACGCTGCACACACGCTCACAGACAGAGACACTTCCCTCAGAGACGAGCGGATACATCACCTCATGATGATGCCACATTATTTTCCATTTCAAGGGTTCTGTCCAATTAAGAAACATATCTCTGCTTGTGGGAGCTCCGGGGGCCCGTGGGGAGGACACAGGACAACATTTGGACTGGTCCTCCTCAGATAAGACTTTTAAGAGTTTCTGAGACTCTCTCTGTTCCGCTAATGAGGCCTGGGAATTCTGGAGCACCACCAAAGGCATCAGTTGGAGAGGAATTTCTTGGCCACTTTAATATCTGTGCTGTCACGGTGCCAGACGATGTTCTCAGCTGAGCTGTAGAAATGTGAGCGCTTCTCACAGAGGCAGAACTATGAGTTTCCTTCAGCTGGAATCTCAAAGGATTAATGTGATAATACTTGACAATACCGTCAGCCTTCTTTCCGATAACTGTAATCTAAATCTCTCCCTAGGTTGTATCACTGCTAATTTAGTGGCTACATAATAAACTAGCTGAGAAAATATGGAATAAAATTAAAAACATGTCAAGGTCAGACAATGGACATCTTTAGCAATTCAGATGAATCCCAGGATCCTGAGGTTAAACCTCGGGCCTGCATGACTCTCTTTAAATGGATTTGACCTACGGCTGCTATTAACATTCTTCTTATGAAACGTTTCCACTCCACTCAGCAAGCTGCTCTCTCGCTCAATCCATCATTAATATACAGCAAGAACAAAGGCCAAGCTTCACTTCTTCATTTTCATCTTCTAATAGCTTTTGTGTTCGATAACTCCACAGTTTAGTGTCATTCCACAGCAAGAACAGAAGCAATTATCATTCCTTTGTCTTCTAGGTGGACGTGCTTAAAGCGGACATGGAGAGCGCAGAGTGGAAGATCTTGGAGAACATGATTCTGGAGGGAGTTCTGGACTCAGTGGGTCAGATGCTGCTGGAGGTTCACCTGCACTGGGCTGGTTTCGAGGTGGGCGGCGACGACCCATCAGTGGTGCGGTACTGGTTCAGCCTGCTCAAAGAGCTGGAACGTGCCGAGTTTCGCCTCTTCCATGTGTACAGTGACCCGGCCAAGCCACACCTCTTCCTGCATAAGAACATCCTCAACGCCAGCAGTGTTTACACGCTGAGCTGGGTGAACACGCAGTGGAAGCCTTGAAGGACGCCAGACTGACAGAAACAAATAGAAAAATTGCAGAAATGGCCTCTGGATTTGTGTAAGATGGAATTTTTCAGCGTGAGCACGAATTCTTGCTGTAGCACACCTGCTCTCATCTGGCTTGACCTTTTCGTAAAGCTAAAATCGCTGCTCCCACTTATCCTCCCGCTCTCCTGGCCTGTAATGACCTCAGTCATGTAGAGGGGCAGAGTAATTGCCTGCAGAGGCTTCTCTGTGTTCTACCTCATAGTGGCTGTGTTGTTGGCTGCAGGTCAGCCTCTGAGTCACACTCACCCATGGCAGTGTGGTCCTGCCTGTTACTAGCCAACCTTTTCACAGACCCAAGAGACAGCAGCCGCAGAACAGTCGATTAATTCATACACTTTACGTCAAAGGAGGAAGGAAGATGGGATCTGCTCTGGAGGCAGAAGATAAGTGTCTGGAACACGGAACATGACAATATTATGAATAACTGCATTATGAAAGTCTCACGTTCACAGCGTGTGTATTGGATATTTCAATGAGGATGTGTGACTGAGATTGAAAACGCTTCAATCCCCATTTTCCTTCCAAATCAAAGATTCAGGTATTTTTTCTTCTTCTGATATTTGATTGGCCTTTACCACAAAATCAAAAATGTAGTAAAAAAATTGAACACTAAACAAAAATCAAAAACTTACACAACTTGCCAAATACTTTGATATAACTTAATAAAACAAGGAAACAATGAATCGTTTGGTTTTTCTTTTCATTATTTGTGCTAAACTATATTACTATATATGTTTCAAATGTTTTAATATGCAAGAATTTCTTCATTAAAATGCCTAAAAACAACTAGACCTATATATTTTGTTGACTTGTGCAATTGCATTATCCAAAATGTTCCAATGTTAAAACCCAGAGAAAACCTCAATTGTAGTCAAGGTAACAGCTTGTTAATTTTGGTCGCCTTTTTACTGTCATATTTGATCGCAGTATTATTTATTGCTATATATTATTTATCTGTTGAATGATGTGAATAAAACTTAAAATAAATAATTTTTTAAAACATTAACTCATCTGTGAATTAGATTTGCACCCGAGATGCGTCACTTAGATTTTGATCAGCAGTGGTGGGGACTACAACTCCCATGATCCCACCCCAAAAATACATGTCGTACTTTTAAGAAGATAATTTCACAGAATGTTTATTACCACAAAGGGATGGTCAGACAACTGAAAACAAATGATTTTATCAAGGATTACAAATGTATACTAAACAGAACACTGCCGATTAAAATTAAAACATTGACTGGAAAAAAAAAAAAAAATAGCCAAAGTAGCCCTCAAATGTGTTTGTTGTAGTAAAAACAACCTTTAAAAGTATGTTTGTGTTCATCTTTGTACAGATACATTACAGGAGTTCATAATTGAGCTCTTATGGGATACAATAAACACTGCAACAATGAGACTGGATACCAGTCCTGTGGCATTCACTAAAAAAATGTTATCAAAACCCATGGGACAAGAAACCCTTCCTGTGTCTTAAGTCAACAAGTTCAGTTTTGCCCCTCATCTCCCACCCTGAGCAGTTTCTAGTCCCAGAGTTTGATTTGTCCGTCCCAGCCGCAGGTGATGACCTTGGAGGTTTCGTGTGGATGCCACAGGGCGCTGATGCAAACCTTGTCGTGAGCCTTGATCCTGTGGTAAAGCTTGGTGGTCTTCCAATCCCAGATGTTCAGCTTTCCATCCGCATCTCCTGAGACCACATAGCTGGTAGAAAGAAGAGAAACATTAGTGCTTCCCTACGTATGACTTCTCTCTCCCCTTCACCTGCCAAACGGTGGGAGTTTTTGAATTTTTGGTATGTAGTCTAGCCAAGAGTTGCTGTGTTGCCATGGCTACTGAGAGGAAGTGAGGACACCTGTTCACACATGTGGGTGGTGGTAGGCGAGAGGCGGGGGAGAAAACATGTCTTAATGGGTATTTTGGCTAAAATTAGAGAGCCGAACTGTCCCACTTATCTCTCCTTGTGGATCTTATACAGAAGATATTATGGAGACACTATTCTCTGCAGCTCTTCATCGTGTAAAGGGTTTTTCTAGAGGACAGGAGGCGAGCAGCAGCAGCATCTGTATAAAGCTGTTTTTAGCTGTTATGCCTTATTTCATTAAGTGGACTAAACTGCCTGCAGTTTGTTTTCATTTCCTCATAATGATATTTTTAGTTTTTCTGCCTTTCATTTTCATTGAAATAGTTACAGCCATTCCTCAGTGCCAAAGAAAGTCAACGTGTACTCATCAACTATTATAAACTCATAATGGACGGTGAGACTACGTTATATTTCCTTTCATCACAAAATTGAGTGACAAACGGTTTACCTCATGTCTGGGGAGAAGTCCACTTGGCAGGCATAGCCAGCCACCATGTGGCCCTTGAAGACCTTCTTCTTGTTCAGTCTGAAGCGGTTCTGGGCTCCGAAAATAAGAATCTGGTTGTCCATGGACTGGCATGCTAGCCATTTACCTGCGGAGAAAAACAGACAAACAGCATGACAGCACACTGCTACACAACACTCCTGTTAATATCGCACAAGCAGTGATGTGGTAATATGATGCATGATGTGTTAGTGTGTGCAAAACCTTACAGGGTAACAACTGTGATCTTGTGGGAAAACAGTCAAACATTTTTCAATAACTGTCATTGGTGAGGATAAACCTCAAGAATAGAAATAAGACAAAATCATCCAAAATGACTGTTGCATGCCTCAACCGAACAGTGCACATGAATTTTTTTCCTGGTGCATATGAGGTAAGCATGATCGTTACCTAGTTACCTTTGAACACTGAAACTTTATCAGTTCATCTTTGAGTCCAGCTGACGATTGGTCGAAATTTAAGGCAATTCCCTAAAAGCAGACTTGAAATATGTACAGGCCACCGTGACCTTGACCTTAGAAACATCTCATCAGTTCATCTTTAATTCACAGTGAACTTTGGAACCAAGTCTTAATAAATTTCCTCTGGTGTTCCTGAGATGTTCTGCTCAAAAGAGAAAAATAATAATATAAGTCTTTAAGGTCAGAGTGAAAACCTTAAAATGCCTCCGGCCACTGGCTGTTCACTGGCCCAAAGGATGTGGACATTTGCTTTTGACGGCCCTCTGAAAAAGGTTATGAACTCATCATTCTGCCATCGTTAAATTGGGAAGATTAGGGCATTGTAGTGAAAAGATCTACTTTACAGAGCGTTTCAGCTCCTGACAACGCTGCGGTCTCCAAGTCACTACACAGTGATAAGAGGCAGCGCTCCAGTGTCAAAGCATTACATGACTCAGTGCACTCCTTGAAAGGAAACATGCTGGAAATTATTAATATGGTACGAGAAAGAGCTCTGGTGTTGGTGAGCGGGGGTGTGTGTGTGGGTGTGTGTCCTCTTACATCCTCTCCCACAAAATCATGAAAAAGACACTATTGTCCACAAACGTCAGCTGCGATTAGTGCAGAATAAAAACAACTTCACCAATGTCACCAGAGCACTAAGGCTCTGTCGGTTTGACGATGAAGATGGCAAGAGGAGAGAGATTGTGCATTTGGTTCTTTGTGGGCTGGGTGCCATTAAGGCATTAACGGTTTCCCACTGAAAAAAACATGTAATATTTTGATGCTGAGGAAAAACAAACCATTTTGAGACAGATAAAAACGTCTTTCCCAAAGGAAGGAAGAAAGAGAGTGCATGAAAGAAAGAATCAAACTAGTTAGAGCGAGTTGAGTTTGATGATACATTTGAAGAGGCAGTTCATTCTGTTATCAGCTTGGATGTGTGCTGCTCACAAAACACTGAGACTCCCACTTAGCCATGGTTTTAACATCCGTCCTTAGTTATCCAATCATAAGTGGACTGCAGTAAGTACCAGTATGAACGCACCCAACTGCGTCCTCAATGTTTTCATTCGTTTCGCTGTGAGAACGTAAATGTGATGGGTTGCCTGCTCCAGTCACATCTTCTGAGTCATCATCGTGAGACAAAAGCAGTTCTTAGTGTCCACAGTCACGATATCAACACTGACAACCACCTAATGATTTCTATTTAAATGGGTAAAATGTTATTCCACAGTGACTAATTGAGCCCCTCCTGACTCCACTCTCTCGAAAGCCTGCGCCAACACACAGACTGACACAGAAACACATTGACAGCTGACATATCTGTCTACTCAGACCGGATAAAAACCATCATTAGGTCTTAGCAAACACAAATGACGTATTCAATTATTTGCGTATAGAGCGGGGGGAGGTTAGGTCCAATCACATGTGAGACACACTCACATTTTAACCCCAGGTGTGGTCACACAGGAAAGATCAGGATAGATGCTAACACCAGGTCTGAACAGGGCCTGAGTCACATGTCTGCAGAATACTCACAATAAGGAATGCCCTGGTCACACATCCTGTGATAGTCCTGTCTGGCATCCCAATGATGGCAGCAGGATTTGATGCATCTTGCAGTTTTTCCCCTGCTTTCAGGCTTTATGAGAGTTGTATTGATTTTCTCATTTAACTCTCAGCATAAGTGTAATTCCAACATCAAACTCTTAGTTATCAAGTTACTGTCTGCCTCACATTTTTCCTTACGTTTCTAATTATATACAAAATAATTTGCCCTTCAAACGATATACGTACAGGCAGTAGTCCCTCTCCTTGTCTGCACCATGAAAATGAATACCAACTCTCAGGAATATAACCAACAAACCTCAAAGCATTGTGTCAAGCAACTGTTATTATTCATAAAGGATCAGAGACTTCTCTCAGTGAAAGCTTGTTCATGCTAGCTCACATGAATCAACTGGTAACAGGATTCCCAAGTCCCATAGCTCCTGCTTTTTTCCCCTTCAGATTTCATACTTTTCTGGAAGCCAACTGATGTAAATCCATAATAGCGACAGATAACTTAAATCCCCATCTTTACCCACTTTAGTTTCCCCCATTTGCCTTTGGTGCACACTGACATGACATTAATTGAAACTGCTGGCTGCTGTGCGCTCTGCAGTTCACTCCCTCGCCTCCACCACAGCATGGAGTGTTTGAACAGGGCTCTGTGGGGCGTTTGTGACAGCTGGTGCACCCAGAGCAAACAAAGGATTGGAAGGATCAGGTCATGTATGTACTATATGTATATAGCATGTATGTATTTGAGTATGCTTGTCTGTCTATATTTCCTTATTGGGCCCTATACTGATGTGGTGAAAGGCTCTGGACGTTTCCTTCTCACTCCTTTAATTAACTGAACTCATTTTATTTTATTTCTGCTGAGCAATGGCCAGCAGCTTCAATCTGGCAATATAGGTTAATTCTCCCCAGAGCTCCCTGCACTGCGTGTGTGCGTGTGTTTTGCCATGGTTTGTATACTCACCATTGGGAGAAAGTGTCACAGCTGGCATGGAGTGCATACTGGGCTCAGCAATGTACTTGAAGTCCACAGGGATGTCCCTGAAAAAGGCACAAAGCACAGTGATTACTCTAGAAAACAGCTTAAACACTGGATAAGAGAACAACCTGAGCAGGCTCCAAGGAAAAAAACACATTCAAAGAGCTGTGGTTTGTTTCACACTGCAGCTGCTGGCTTCTGAAGAGAGGACGGCTAAAATGAAAGATCAGGTGGTGTAGCTTTTACATCTAGTGTATGCAAGTAAGTGTTTGATGTTGCACCAACGACTGTGCCGGAGACCAATTATTTATTAATCCGTTTTGTCTCCCTGCTTTGTGAGAGGGAGGGAATTTAGCTATTCAATCTTAAATTGTCTGCAGAAGATTATTCAAATTTACAGTTCAGCACGTGTGTGTGTCTGCCAGAAGGACAGTGTGCCAATTTGTGCTTTTTTTCCTGCTGACCTTCTAGAACTTTCTTCAATAAAAATGTGTCTTTCTGTCTTAGTGTGTGTTCTTTTCAAGTAGGAGCTAAAGAGCAACGGCCATAAACACATCTTGCTTTCTGCTTAAACTAAAGCCCTGTCTGTTTCTTTCACTGAGAAGAAACGGCTGGAGTGAAGGGACTAAGACCAAAAATGGACTTCGAAGAACTACAGACAAATGAGAAATGCAGTCCCTCAGACAGATAAAACACTCGGATTCATGCGTGCGTACACAGACAGACATTAAAGGGGCCCCTTGGGTTTGTCAGAGCCAATGTCTGCAGACAAGCTAAACTCTGACAAGATAACAAAGCCATCAGATCTCCTGTTCTGAGCCCCAGAAATAACCAGAATGAATATTTTGTTGTCTGGAAAGTGGTGTGAGAGGAAGAAAGGAAGAAACATATGACAAACAATCTATACACAAGAGATATTCATGAATCATAGATGATTTACTGTAGTTTGGTGTCTTTCACGTCGATCAAGCTCAGGGACAATGGCAGAAACAGGATTTTTGTATAGTTTACTTAAGAAGCTTTTCAGGCAGAACAGCTGCGGACACTGACCCAGGGTAAGACTGAGTGAGATGGAGGCAGCTGCCTGATCAGACTCTGAGAAAATGTTAATTCTGCATTCCGGTTAGAAACGGTGGATTTGCATTTCACAGCAACTTAAAACAATCTCAGTGTAGTTACGACACATTAGCTCAGGGGGAGAACTTGTTTGGTCTCATCTTGTTTATTACTACATTGAATAAATTGTCAAATATTCTTATTTGTAATCTGGTTTGACTAAACTTCTGTGTAATTTCACAGGTGGCTGTGGGTCTGGAGCCTCGTTCACTAACCGTAACCGTTCATTTGATGCCCTGCTCCTTCATTCAGCACTCTGAGGTGTCCTTGGGCAAGATACTGAACCCCTCATCAGTTTCATCGTTCTCTAAATGACGTCTTTAGGATCAATCTGATTCCCCTTGCAGCCCGGCACAGTGTGGAACATTACATATTGATTATAATCCTCATCCAGTGTGTACGATGATTCTACGCTCCCTGGTGACAAACCTCTCCTGCAGATAAAGTAGCCTACCCAGAATCCTCATGAATATATGTGCAAGGATAGAATCTGAATCACATGTGGGCATTTTGCACTGTGATTCGAATGACTTGTAAATTTGCTGCCTCACAACGTTTTCTAACCATCTGGCATTTCCTCCAACACGGCCTGTCTCTGCCAGCATTGGCTTCAACTCTGATGATGTGAGACTGTTCTGGGGAATTTGGTCTAAAGCTGGTATGTACCAGTTCTCACAAGAGGGGAATGGATCCAAGAGGAAGGAGGAAAAAGCAGAGCTCAGAGCCAGGTGGCATTCGTGGGAGAAAGAAGGACAGTAAAGCCACTCTTTAGCCCAACATACCACTTGCATGCTCGCTCCCACGCTGCACTGCAAAGGCCCATGGGACCCTCCCCCTCAGACAAGTATAGAAAGTGGAGTCATGGGATATGTTGGAAATTGCCCCACATTCTTGTCTATATTTTTATTATGCCCTTCAACATTCTGACTTAAAGCTTGTGAGAGAAACCATTTTTGTAGCTAATCCCCATTTTTCTCATTACAGAGCAAAATAAAAGAGCAGGGAAGTAAAATAAAACACAAATGTTGATCCATAAAATGCCTCACATATCCACAGGAAGCTTCTTTTATCAGCTGCTCTTTAAACATTTATCACCTCAGAGCAAAGAATAAAAACATATTTGTTTATCACCACAGGACCAATGGCTGCCCTTGTGATTGGCTACATGCAAAGACCATTTCAGCAAATAAATTAGCTCATTAAAAACATGTATGCTTCTTGTTCCTGTAATATTGGGATAGGAAGGAGAATTTCTAATTATTGCAATTATAACTGACCTGCGAGTCATCCAAGCGCATCTTTTCATTCCAATAAAAGGGGTTTTTATGAGAACATTGTCACTGGACAATGTTAACTCCAGGGGTAAGAAAACAAACAGAGTAACAGATGCATGTGAAGCAGGCAAACTGTGGCAGAGGCTATAACTCAGGGCACATTAGCAGCACAGCTGGGTGAACAGTACAGTGCAGGGTCGTCTGGAGGTTTGTTGATGTCTGCGCTTCTTATTAACGGCTAATGAAAGGAGAGGTTCAAGAACCATTCAGGAACCGGTCCAGGGCAGAATATACGGTTTAGTGTTTGAATAGTTTGTCCTTGGTTTTCTTGCATGAACAGAAAAGACAACACAAAGAGACTTGCTGTCACCAAGATGCAGCTCAGTGAAGCTGATAAACCTACCTGTCCTGTTGAAATGCTGTTGAATACTTTGGGATTTATTAATTGGACTTTTGTTGCATGAGAGAACCAAAACATAAATCTTTCCTTCATGTTAATGCAGGTAGATCTTCTCTAAGCTGCCTGCTGCCCAGTGCAAACACAGTCTTCCATTATTAACCACTCTGTATT